GTTTCAGTTCGATATATTCATCAAAATACCTATTTCTTATTATAGTATTTGAGATGACCAAACCGTTCCTAAATGGCAACCGCAGCTTCCACCGAAAATTACGAAGGTCCAGTTGTCCGTTGTTACACAGCAAAAAGGAAAGGTCCCAAGAAGCCACGTCATCAATTCCACATCCGAACAACCACTTCTTTTTCTTCAAAATAAAAGCAAATAGAAAATCATATTGGAGAGCAATTTGCAGTTGCAGACAGATCACCTCAAATTGCATGGATTCAGGCACTCATACAAGATTTTGTTTTTGGGAGGTAAAATTCTAAGATTTTAAGAAAATATAAGTTTATAAAATTCTAAGAAATAAAGATATAAAAGAATTTAAAATATATAATATTTTTTAAATAAAAATATACGATAATTTTAAATTTTTAAAAGATTAATATTTTAATATTTCGTCGATCCATTCTTATATGGATCGATAAAAAAAGAAAGAGGCCGTGTCAATCCTCGTCAGTATCAACCAGGTACACAGATGTCCAACACCAGTCACTCCTTCTCCCTCGTGTCGCCGATATCGGACTTTGTAAAGGGGTATGCCCTTTTTGGCGGGACTGGAGGGGCGGCGGGCTCCACGTCAGCCTCATTTGGCGGGAAAACGAAGCTACCTTTCTTTGCTCCATTCATCTTCACTTGCGTACCCGACTTGTCCTCTAGTTCAGCCCCGCCCCGCCCTCCCTTTCTCCTTCATATCTACCTTTTACTTTTAGTCAACATACATATGACATGTATGCATGTATTTACGATGTTCATTCGACATAATAAACATGGTCATTAAAGTCACGTGACTTGTGACGACAAATACCACTGGACAGTTACCGAGTCATTTCTTATTCTTATTAATTTTTGGGCATGCTTTGCCATTGGGGACAGATCTCGGTGTTCTTTGCATTTTATTTTTTCAGCTATTATTTTTAATTTTATTTTAGACGGCTGCAGATTTCGATGCAGACATGGTCACGTGACAAAGCTCCCGTTCTTTTTAATAAACAGCAGTCCTATTTAATATTTAATATACGGTAAGAGAGATTATTTCATAGTATCTTTTTTTGTTAGTAATGAGGGTCACTGTTCGTCGGAATATACTATGGTTATACAATAGTTGTAATACACCAAGTACCAGCTCGTTGCAGAAGATTAAAGGAGCATAAGGGAAGAAGAGAAATGGAGGAGGAATGGTGAGTTGGAAAGGATATCATTATCAATAATGTTTTGGTAAAATCTTTGATGACAGGTGTTGAAATCATTTTGTGGTGCCTTCGAAATGTTTCGAGCCTTTAAAAGATGGCTAAATGCTACGTTAGATCTTATAAAATAACTTTTGTGGCAGCTCAGGACACTGAGACGATGATATATGATACTAATGCAATGATCTGCGATGGTTGATTATGTAACATATGAGTTAAATTATTTTTTAATAGAGTTTTAGGTTATTTTTTTTTTAGTTTAGAGGTTTATTTGATTTTCTAGAAAAAAAATAAAGATATTTAAAATATAAAAATATTCTAAAAATAGATATAAAAAAATAGAAATATCATCAATTGAGTCATTCTATAAGTCAACAGTTTCGATCTAAACATAAAAAATGCGAGACTAAAAGAAAAAAAATATCAAATGTCAGTCCAATGATGAAATATCAAGCATAATATATTCATAAAGATTTAAAACAAGACGTATAACGTATGTGTTTTTTTAAACATTTTTAATCTTTAATAAGTTATCATTTTATAGTTTGTGAAATATTTTTATTTTTAAACTAAAAATTTTAATAGTATTTTTAATATATATATTAAAAATTTAGTGATTTAACTTTTATTTTTTCATATTTTGATATTTAATTTTTTGAATATTTTTAAATTTAAAATTTGAAATATTTTCTCTAAAAATCAAATAAGACATTATTTAAAAAAAAACCTTTGAACTCATAAAAAAATCAATTTTGTCTATCTACCACTATGGACGGTCATGTTAATATTATAAATTGTCACATAAACATTGTAACAATTAACGATAAAAGTAATTGGCCAAAGAACCATATTAAGTGTTTTCTTCTTCTTCTTTTTAATTTAAAGGTCACGTCGAGTGTAAAAGTTGTGTGAGGATCGTATTAAAAAACGTTTAAAACATATTTTCAAGTTTATTATGACTTTGATTTATTTTTAAGAAATTCTGACAAATCTGATTAAGTCCAAATCAATTTTATAATCATTTATTTTATCACCAAAATTTCAACAAATAATATAGATCAACCTAAATTTCGAGTTCATTTTTTCCATCGCATTTCATTCGCATCTTTTTTTGTTCTTAGAATATAATGTTAGATTGTATAATTTAATTCTTAATTTAGATAAATCATATATAAGAAAACATTGTTAACCAATAACCATTTAATTCTTAATTTAGAATATTGTCAAAACATATTAGAGAAATTATATAAACTGAAAATACAGTAAATATAATTTTTAGAAAAATAAAATGATATATAATTAACATATACCATATGTATAGTTTGTTCAAATTTATAGGCTTATATAAGAAAAGTATAAAACCATCACAAAAGTTTAGAATTTAAAAATATTTAATATATATTCTTTTTCTCATATATTCGTCGTGGATTCGTGATATACAAATTTAAATAAAATTTTACTTAAAATAATTACAAATTAATAATTAATATTGAGATTATTATAAACATTTACGTTATATGTATATAATTACATTTAATACAAAATAAATTTGAATCCAATCTCGTATCAAATCCAAAAAGAACTTGATAATAGAAAGGGCTTAAATCCAACATGATCTAAACTAAATAAAATCCAACTCAAAATAGGCACAATTGACGCCTATAAGAAGGCCCCGACATATTTTCTATGAAGTCCAAAATTTTAAATATTTATATACCTCCAAAAGATTTATGGATATTCTCATTAACCTCCAAATTAGGGATGGACATGAGTTGGGTTTTTGGTCCTCATGACCCGACCCGACCAAAACAAGTTCACCCTACCCGATATATAACTTAAAAATCCGACTCGACCCAAAATAATAATAAAAATATTTTTATTCAATAAAAACAGTGACTTGATTGAAAAACATAATATATAAAGAGGTATTGTTATAATTATTCCTAAATATATAAAGTAAAATTATATATATTTCAGGTCGGGTCGGGTATTTTCACCCTACACCCGAACCCAATTTTTTTTAATGCAACCCGATTGGGTCGGGTCGGGTTCGGGTCCCATGACCATCCCTCCAAATAGATTAAAAAAATAATTAACGCTCAATATATTTTTTAAAATTCTTACCAAATCCCTAAAAAAATTAATATTTAAAAAATTAATTAGACCTCCAATACTTAATTTCAAAATCTATAATGATGTTTTTTAATTGTTGATTACAAAATAATATTTGTTTAATTTTTTTAATTTATTAACCTTCCATATATATTTTATCAATATAGTTGTTCGAATTTAAGACTTTAAGAAGAAGAATAACCTTCTTTTTATTTCCCTTTAACTAGATGTCTTCAAATTCGTCATTGACTTAGGTGGTGTTTGTTTTCACTGTGCAAGCTCTTCAAACCACTTATGTCTGCGTCGCGCAGACCACGCGCAGACATTAGGCTTCGCAGACTGTTTATTTTTTAGAAGACAGAAGCTCTTCAAACGTCTGCGCGAACTCTTCTTGGTGCAGACTTAGTTTTATGTCTTCAAAGGTCTTCAAGCCTCTTCAAGAACAATTATAAAATAAATTTATTTATTAAAATAATTTTAAATAATTTAATAAGGTTATTTATTTTAAAATAATTTATTATAAAATAATTTATTTTAAAATAAATTATTATAAAATATGGATTTGATTTATTTTAAAATAATTTATTTTAAATAATTTATTAGTATGGATTGATTTATTTTAAAATATGGATTGATTTATTATTGTAGTTGTATAGATTGATTTATTTTAAATAATTTATTAGTATAGATTGATTTACTTTAAAATACGGATTGATTTATTTTAAATAATTTATTAGTATTGATTGATTTATTTTAAAATATGGATTGATTTATTTTAAATAATTTATTAGTATGGATTGATTTATTTTAAATAATTTATTTGTATGGATTGATTGATTTATTTTAAAATATGGATTGATTTATTATTGTAGTTGTATAGATTGATTTATTTTAAATAATTTATTAGTATCGATTGATTTATTTTAAAATATGGATTGATTTATTTTAAATAATTTATTAGTATAGATTGATTTATTTTAAATAATTTATTTATATGGGTTGATTTATTTTAAAATATGTATTGATTTATTTTAAATAATTTATTAGTATGGATTGATTTATTTTAAAATATGGATTGATTTATTTTAAATAATTTATTAGTATAGATTGATTTATTTTAAAATATGGATTGATTTATTATTGTAGTTGTATAGATTGATTTATTTTAAATAATTTATTAGTATGGATTGATTTATTTTAAAATATAGATTGATTTATTTTAAATAATTTATTATTTTAGTTGTATGGATTATTTAAATTTCAGTATTGTAAAACTAAAATTATTTAAATCTCAATATTGCAAATCTCTTTTAAGTTTAAAAAATCAGTTTATTTATATTTCAGTTCATTTTAGCAGTGTGCAGACGTTAAAAAACAAATAGTCTTCTTCTTGCAGACTGCAGACTTTTAGTCTACCTCTTCTGCTGCAGATGCCTGCAAATGCGATCCGCAGACTGCAGACCTTTTACCTCTGCAAAAACAAACACCAACTTAGTTTATAATGGTGTTTGTGTTTTTATGAGAAGAGATTCCCTTTGTATTTTTTTTTTTGTAGTTGATCAATAGATCGAATATTAATAAAAAGGTATGAATCTAATCAAAACTCATTTAACAGCTGCTGAATACCTCAAATTTGCATTACTGCATTTTTAAACCATAACATCCACAACACCCTAAGGAGCATACAATGAAGATTTAAACCTCAAATTTGTTTGGTTACATGGAAAAGGATGAACATGAAATCATCATCATTTCGCCATGCACCCAATTAAGAACAGCAGGAAATGAAAATGGAAGGGATAAAAACCCCCCGAAAGTGAGAATAAATGGCACACAATATAGAGAACATCCTAATCATCAACCTTGTGTCCCCATTTTCATGGACATTTCAAAGTTCTTTCCAACGTACAAGTTCAAACCCGAAATTTCCACCATTAAAGGCTTCTTCTCTCCTTGTTCATCTTCAACATCAGCTTGCAAACGCATCTGTTCCACTGAGCCCAACTCAATGTTCGGCGCACCATTAGCTACTGGACTTCCATTGATTTCGAGACTGGATGCGTCTACACTTCCACCCAATCCCAATACAGTTACTTTCTTATTTTCCAACCTTTGTCTAAAGCAAACTTACCCTCATGAACCTCTGACCAGATCTTCACCGATCCCTCCTTCACCGTAGCGTATAAATCGACGTATGTCGAATACCCGTTCCCGAGTTTCATTTCAGGGAGCTCGTCATTGTCTAGATAAAGGTTGCCTTTGGCTTGTGCTTCGCTAGCCCCGATTGGGAAGGCTACTATGAGAGTAAATGGTGTCATTCTAGCTTCCTTGGAGATCATTCCACCTTGTTGCATTGGTAGTATGGTATTCTGATACAAATGTACATTAACCACATTCAACGGTGCATCAAGTGTAAAGTATTGTCCCTTTGACACAATGGTTTGTGTCATATCGAAGACACTGTACCAAGATCCGGGTGGGAAAAGTGCTTTAACCGATGTTTTCCCTTGTTCAAGCACCGGAGATACCATGAGACTGCTTCCGAGCAAGAATTGGGTGCTCAACCCATAGCATTCCTTGTAAGCAGGAAATGAGAAGAAAAGTGGTCTGGCTATTGGTGCTCCACTTGTATGAGCCATGTAGTTGAGTGTATAGAGGTATGGAAGAAGTTTATACCTCATACCTAGAGCATTTTGAGCAGATTTGGTGACAGTCTTCCATTGATACAGCTCCTGCCTTGGAGAATAGTAATTTGCATGATCTCGAGAGAAAGGGTAAAATGCACCGACTTCGATCCAACGATTACACAACTCTTCGGTTGGAGCAGGATAGAACCCACATATATCTGCACCAACCATTGGAACACCAAATATACCGAAATTCAACACTGTAGTTATAGAATACTTCAAATCTTCCCAAGTGCCCTTATTGTCACCTGTCCAATGAGCAGCATACCTTCCTGAACCAACGTATGTAGATCGTGACAATATAAATGGCCGTTTTCCCTCGAGCCCTTGGAGTGCTTTGTGAGTTGCTATGGATTGAGCAAATCCGTAAAGACTATGAGCATCATACTCTAGAACACCGTTGTAGTGAACAGCGCTAGTGGCAATCGTTTTGAACCCAATTGGTACCTGCAACCCAGAAGCATTTATCTTGTATGGTGGATTGTCCCATCTTGTACTTGTTATGTTCTTGCAGTCTAAGCAACAGATCCAACCAGGGCCAGTGCCACTTGGGCAAACCTTGCCTTTTGGAATCGTGCACTTCCCAGAACAGAAATTCGATGCTTCATTCATGTCGATCCAGAGCCCATCAACAGGTACAAGTTCATGAAAACGACGGATTTCATCACCCCACCATGCAACAGTTTTTGGGTTGAGGAAGTCCGGAAAATTAACAGCCCCAGGCCACACTTGAGCCAAGTAAGGCTCACCATCATACTTGATAAATACATCATTGGCAATCCCTCTTTGGTATACACCATAACTGGAATTAACACCAATTCCAGGATCAATAATGACAATGTATTTCATACCTCTTTTATGAATTTTGTCCAGGAATGCAAGAAGCTTCGGACGAGGGTAGTTTACGGGGTTGAGGGTGAAGTCCTTATGGCCATCCATATGATCATCATCGTTCCAGATCACATCCAGTGGGATCTGAGCCTTCTTGTAGTTCTCAACAACATCTTCGACAACAGAGAGGTTATGATAACCCCATCGACATTGGTGAAACCCTGCAAATCATATTTATAAAAATATATACAAAAAAATAATGAATACATTTTATTCATACAAACTGGAAAGTATAAGATGCTAAGTTAATCTTTAAGACTTCTCATGTTAAGAGAAACCCCAAAGCTGACAATGAAGGCTACAAATAACACGAAGCGGAAATCTAATGACCAATGGTACCTTTGTTGTTCTATGCTCTTTTTTAACTTCCATTTTTTCACAAAAAATGCAGAAAACAACTCCATATCAGTATTGGAATGAAATATTGCAGTAAGAGTTCATAATGGCATGAAAATTTCAGAAAGTTGTAGGAACAACCGAACTACCTGACAAAACTCCCTCATGCTATTGCGAAAATACAAACACATTATTGAAGATCATGGGACATCCATCACATGTAAGCTGGCTTTACCCAAACATTGCAAACAAATAACAAGCCTCAAAGTCACATGCGGATCTTAACCATTAATTACACATTAGATGGTGCCTTTGAAGGAAGAAAGGCACAAAAAATGCTTGTTTTTTTTACCTTGATATACATCTACCGACACACAAAAGGTGCTATAGAATGAAGGTAGCAAACAATAGTTTACTGTGGATACCCCACAGGCTAAGGACTCTTGCCCGAGCTTCGGACCACTGTCGACACTAAATTTTTTAGGGTTCACCTATGGTTACCATCAAACTAGGGCCTACTTATGTGGAAAAAGATGTAATTTTAGGGGGGGAAACATAGTGTGCTTCATGGGATTCTAAAAGGTGCTTTTTTTACTAAATGGTGCATCTAACAGTAAAAATAAAATAAGTATCAAGAACTTTAATCATTGATGTTATATATCTCTATGAGACCTAACATGCCACAAGTCATTTCATTATTGATCATAGAAAAAGATCTCTTAGATTTAAAAAGGTTGATTTGCTTTGGAGAGAATTATTAGACCAAAGGCATGTATAGATGGAGACTTTAAACACATACAATGAAGTAAAAATCAGATATGGGACCAAATCCACCTATCCATATTAAAAAAAAAGGAACAAAAAGCCTCCACCTTAATACGTTACACAAATAGCAGGTATAACCATGTCCATTAGCAATCTAACACTTGCCAACAAAGATATGAATCAAGTGGACCAAGTTTTCTTTAGATTATGCAGCAAATCGTTTCTTTAATGCAACATTAATAATTAAAAATCTAACATTTTCCATCTAAAACAGATAATGTAAGTGAGAAAAAGAAAAGCATACCTAGAGACCAGTAAGGCATGGGAGCTGGCCTGCCGATGAAGGAGGTGTATTGATCCACAACACCGAGGGGAGTCGGTCCGGACAAGAAATAGAAGTCGAAAACGCCACCGATAACCTTATAGGTCAGTGAATTCCCTCTGTAAAACACATCCATGCCATTGCTGTTCAACAAGAGAACAGCATGTGCATATGGCTCACCACCCACATTCCTCAAGTCCATATAAACAGGGTGGGATCCGTACAGATCGGTGTTCAAATTAATAGCCGACACATCGGTTGTGTACAATGTGTAAGGGTCGTTTGGGTACAGCTTGATGCCATGGGGCTGAGTGTTCTCTCCGAGTCCATAGAGTGAGGCATCTTTAGGCAACTGAGTCGAAATCTCCAAGTATTGGTCTTTAAACACCATTTCTCCAAACGAGTCCGACCCATAAGAGCTGGAATTGAAAAGGGTCTGCCCATTTGATTTCCTCTTAACCGCAAAGTTAAAAGGGTCGGCAGTGTAGCTGAATATGAGCTCCGGCCCGGCAATCTCCGAGACGGTTATCGGGTTCTTCCTTGATCTCCCAACCGTGTGCTTTAATGCCGGCGGCTGTTCCCTCGGTAAAAGATTGTACGGAACTTCCCATCTTTGCTTCTCGGCATCTGTTATGTGCACCCTCAGACGATCTTCAGTCTCATGCCTGTAAAAGAAGAAAAATAATAGACTTTTAAGGAACATGCAAAAGAAGAAAAAAGATTGAAACTTTAGTGATATTTTACTCACTTGACGTAGAGTTGCAAGAGAGGAATATCAGGGCCATAAATGTTGTTATTTTCCTTGACCTCAAGGTGGCCTATGAAGCCACCATCGGTGGTCTCTTCAGCAAAGATCAAACGGTACCCTTTGCCAATCTTAGAGGGAACGGATGAAGAAGAAGAAGAAGAATATGCTCCATTGAAACATGATACTAAAACCAGAAGAACGTAGAGGGAACACAAAGAAAGTAATGAACTTGGAGAGAACATTGCTTTAACAAAGCAGAGACTAGTGAGCACTGAGCAGAGTGAGTAGCTAAGCGAGTAAAAAAACTACTCCATTTAATACCGTAGTCAGTCGTTTGATGCATGAATGGGGTGACCTTAGACATGTGATGATGATGATGGGCCAGATGTTACTTTCCTGTTTGATCATTGATATTTTTTTTTCAACAAAGGGTGGTCCCATATCTTATCAATGGCTTTGATTATGGTAGAAACTTTGGTTGATATAATTCATAGAAATATCTTTGGTATATTCTTCTTTTCTGGTATCATTAACACTCCGTTATACGGCATTTGCAGAATTTTAATCTGCCTTTAATTAGTAGAGAATTGATCAAATAGAAGTTGGATTAACTTAGAATCCAATGCAATTGTGGTTAACAAAAATTTTGACTGGTTAACAAAATTTAGCAATTGTGATGAATCATTCATTTAGAATGAAAATATTAAAAATGTTAAATATGTACTTCGAATGAAAATAATATTAAAAATATTAAAATTTAATATTTATATATATATATATATATTAAAAATTAAATATCTCAAAATAAATATCTATAGTATTATATCTAAATTAATCTTTTAATAAATTAAATATTAAAAATTATACTAAAAATGAATTAAATAAACGAATTAATCTTTTGATAATAAACCAATTGTTCAAAAGTTGTCAATATGCAGAAATGTTTAATTATTTAAACATATTGGTTGATAATTTATCATCTTGTTCATATCTATAAAATATTTAGAAATATCTTTAATTTTTTTCTCCCTCTAAAAGAAACGACCTTGTAATATAGTTTTTTATTAATATAAATATAAAGTGATTATAATATAATATATATTCAAAAGTTTCTTAACCGTTTGATAACGAATGTTTAATGTTTCTGCGACGTCGTACTCGAATCTAAAACCTTTAGAAATAACATCCCTCTAACTACTAAATCGTTTGATTCATGCACATTTGAAATATAATTAAAAAGAATAATAATAAGAAAACATCCATTTAAAATAAGAAGACAAATTTGTGTTGAGGATTAATGAAACTTATGGAACATGTGCAGCGCCGTGGCTGAGACGGTGCAAAAGGGGCGACCGTGCAAGACCTCAAAAAAAGTATATTTATAGTGACGTTTTTTCAATAAATATCATTATTGTTGCGGCTTTGATTAAAAAAATATCATTATAAATGGACATATTGCAACGTTTGTCAAAAAATGATACTATTATTACCTCGAAATCGAATATATCTAAAAAATATAGACCCTTTATAAGAATTTATACAGGACCCGACAACCTAGCCGGCCCTGAACATGTGAATATTGTAAGGAACTTGAACAGGTTGTTTGGGGGGGGGGGAACCAATGGAAAATAAGAGGTGGATGCATTAACCTCGGATCGGTCTGTTCTTTGGCTTGTAAGTTCGATGTACGAAGGGATCTGCCAATATTGTCGCAACTCAGTAATCAACTACCTGGATCAACAATTATAAAATCCTTTTACATGAGGGATGCCGAGCTGGCTGGTGAATACGTATAATTTCATATTAAAAAGATAATTTATAAAATTTTAGAAAATAAATTATCAATAAACAAAATAAAAATATTTAAATTATATATAAATTTAAAATTTTCTATAAAAAAATTATCTCGTTTACTCCCCTCGATCTACTTTTACTAGCGAATGGGGATTGTTGTGTCGGTGACTTAAAAGCCCGTTGTCTCAGCCGGGTAAAGTCTAAATATTACAGCAGGTAGAAATTCAATGCATTCCTTCGCATTACGGTAATAATACCTGGATTTTATGACACCTATATTATAAACGAAAGATTATATTTTATGTTAAAAAGTAATTTTATAAATTTACTTCATTATAATTACATATATAGTAATAAAAATTTATATTTAAATTACAATACAATGGGTTTGATCTTTAGATAAACAATTATTAATTATCTTATTTAAAAATATATAAAATACAAAAAGGTACTATAATTATATAAATTATTATTATTATTTAAATAGATAAATATTCTTATAATTATTTAATTGAATTGGCACTTAATTAATTGATTATTTCAACTTAACCAAGAATTTAATAACAGTACTAGAAATTGAGATACACGTGTATGCGTGAAAATAATACCTATTTTGTGATGAGATCTACGATACTTTAAAATAATTTAGGATAAAGTACATAAATGATTTTTTATTATAAGGTATTATTTTGTTGAATCTCTTTATTTTTCTAAAATTTGAATATGTTGATTTGAACACAAGTAGGGGTAAGCAAATCGTAACTCAAGAATTTATTTTTTTTTAATTTCAAGTTAATCGAGTCAACTTGAATTATCTAGTTGGATTTTGAGATCGATTCGAGTTAAAATTTTAAAATTTTGAGACACTCGAAAAATCAAAAATTAGACTGAGTATTTTGATAGATTTGCAATTTAGTCCATGATTTCATTATTTATTTAACTCCTCCTTCATTTTAACTATATTTTTTCTTTACCAAATTTGAACCACATACTCCTAAACCATCATAGAATACTTATATATTTTCAATTTCTCTTTGATAATAAAATTTTTATTTTTCAATTTAGTCTCTCAACTTTATATGATTTCCTTATTTGTTTAATTCATCATTAATTTTAAGTCTGTTTTCGACCAAATTGCAACCACGAGCTACCCTACACTTATAGAATACCTATTTAATTTCTATTATATTTTTTTACTAAAATTATACCCTTTTTTCAATGTAGTCCATTAACTTTGCATTTCACTTAATTTAGTCTTTTTTGACTACAATTGTTTGTAAATCCTTTATTCTCATCAATTCATTGACTCATTTATACTCACATCACTCCTTTACCTCCAAATTACATCCTTTGAAACATAATATTGTAAATATATTTTATAATTTTAGATTGTATTTGATTTATTAAATAACATTATAATGTGCAAAAGAATATGATATGTGTGTGTGTGTGGTTAGAGATATTCGAAACTAAAATCAACCCGTACCATAATACTATAAATAATTACACTTAAATTTGTATGAAAACTTGAGTAAGTTGACTCGACTTAAAAATACTCAAATTACGTATGAGTCGTAAAATATGACTCCTCAATTCAAATAATTCGAAATATTTTGACTTAACTCAACTTGATTAAATAATCACCCCTAAACAAAAATTTTATGGCTTAGTAAAAAGATGTCTACTTTAATAAATAATATTTTTTAATTCAATTAATATTAATTTATTTATAATCCTAGACCGAAAATTTAATAAATAGTATAAATATTATTTTGAACAATTTTTATTTAGGAAGATAAAATTTATTCCTAATAGATATTGAAATGACCACAATCTAAAACAAAAATAAATGTCAACTGAAAATTTATAACTATTTACTCTAGATATGGTTGACCATACGTAATTTAAATATAAAAATTAAGTTTTACCTGTTTATCTTATGCTATTTACAATTGCAGCCACAAATTGCAACAGAAGGTTACATGATTATACTCTGTCTTCGTCTCTTTATGAGTTCCACCACAATGCCAACTTCATCTCTATTTTCTGTTGATGTAAAGCGGCAAGAAACTCGTGGCATCCTCGAGTCACGCCTTGGAACTGTTGAGCACTGAAAAGTCAAAACAACCAACGATATGTTAGGCGACAAATATAGAGGGTAAATGGGTATAATTTCGTAGATTCAATACCGTATCCGTTTCAATTGCGGTGAGGATGAGTAAAACTTTAGTGGGTAGTGGGCACGTCTCCAGTTTAGTAGTGATTGTGTGAAGAAAGATTTGAGAATGTACTCGCGTGGGTTGATGTGGATTTAAAAAATATTATCCATCATAGATAATAGACGGGTGGTAAATTTGAAAATATTAAGTAGATATCAAGATGGGGGAGGGGGTATCCGTACCCGACCCGCCCGTTTGCCATCCTAACTGCATGTGCGCGCATGCATGCTGGTTTTGGAAAGCTCTTGAAACCCTAAAACAGCTAGGAGAATGGACCATGTTATTTGTCACAAAATTCAGCCCACCATTCTTTCAAAAAGTGGGCACTTTACAGGAGCATCACGGCGGCTGTGGCCAAAACTGGGCTACCGGACAACCCACTGGCCTGCTTCTCAGAAATGGACCCGTGAAAGCATTGTCATCGTATGAGTCTATTATGCGACAATTTAATTTAATATAATTTTAGTATAAACCGTTATCTTCTTGAATTTAAAAATTATAAAATTTATAACATTTTTATTATAATTAAAAGTCACATTACAAAAAAATTAATAATTATAATTGAAAATGTTAATTTTCAATTACAACTTGAAATATTGACCTAAAAATTACAATTTTAATAATATTATCGACTACAACCAACTTCTATTGATTTTTAATATTACATTAACAAATTATATTTTAAAATTCCGTTACTTTATTAGATAAGGCCACGAGGGGGGCATGCGCTTGATCCTTATCTCCATCAAAGAAGATCCTCTTGTCGACTCAATGGGCGCTAATGAAAGCAACAGTGGACAATGGTTGCTTTCATTGGTTTCCTCAGCATTTACGCTTCCCAGCAACAAAAATAAAACTATCTAAATAATATTATAAAAAATATTTCACAAAATAGTAATAAAAGTTTATTTTTATGGATGGCGACCTATGTTCGCACTGTAGAATTCATTCTATATCAGTAATTAATTGTTGGAACGTATTATATCGTGAATTATTTTTTCCAACACATTATCTCGTGGATTTTATCTTGTGGATTTTGCCTACTTAATATATCTGGTCAATGAATATATATATATATATATAGTATATACTAAATTTAGAATATATATTTATTATTTTACTTTCTATATATTATATTTTTAAAGCTTGATATATCACTTGTCTTCTAAACTTTACAATATTGTCAAGAATAAATAATGGACGAAATTATCAAAATCAGAAATAAATAAAGTCAATTTAGGGTCAAATATTTTTATAATTAAATTAAAATAAATAAAAAGAAAAT